CACCATCACTCGGGAGGTGGTCTTTGTCTCCCAAGGCTTTCGGGTGATATGTGGCGACTTCAACCACGACCTCAGCAGCCTCCAGCAGTGTGCGATCTGGCTACAGGGGTGGATTGAGGCTCAGGACTTGGCGTACCACAGGTGGAATCAAACTCCGGTGCCGACATGCAAAGGTGCCACCCTCTGGCTTTCGCCAGAAGCCGCAGCCCTGTGTGCCCAGGTGTCTGTCATTGAAGCGTTTCAGGAACATGCCACTGTGGTGACAGGCTTTCGGCTTCCAAGCCATTCTGCTCCGCGGTCCGTGTGGCCACTGCCTGCTGAGATGCCTTGGCATGAGGTCAGTCAGGAAGCGTGGCATCAGCACGGGGACCATCAGCCCATCCCGCCGTGCTCCTCTGACCTCTGGTATGCTCGTTTTGCAAAGGCGGTGGAACAGAGCCTTGATGGCCACCTACCCTCCTTTCCCAACTCTCGCCCGCCATCCTGCACATATGGCAGAGGTCGCCGCACCAAACCGCAGACCTCTCGAGACCCAGCTCCTCCTCTGCGCCCAAGCAGGCCCGGTGAGGCTCAACTAAGGCATGATGGTTTGGGGTCTGAGGTTCGAAAATGGTTCCAGCAGCTGCGCCGTTTGCAGTCGTTGATGCATTCAACCCAGGCAGCCAACCCAGCCGCATCTGCTTTGGCATACCGCCTCTCCCTTTGGCAATCCATCAAGACTGCGCGTGGATTTCGCAATGGCTTTCCTGCGTGGTGGTCCAGGCGACTGGTGCAACTTGTGGGCAGCCCAGCTTCATTGCCTTTGTCGGTGCCTGCGGCCCCTTTGGCCAAATTGCTGTATGAAGACTTTCGCTGCAACTTCCGTCTTGAAGATTGGCACCTCCGCCGGCGCATGCAGATTTTGGATGCCAAATATGATAAGTCTCTGTCCCAGATCTATAAGGATCTGCGAGAGCCTGCCCCGGAGCAGGTGGACTCCCTTCAGGTGCGTCGTGACTATGCCATTTTGGCTGTCGCACCTTCTTGCGATCAAGTGCACTTAGATTCCCCATTGGATCGCCGGGGCTTCTCTACTTGGGCTGTCGACGGTGATCCTGTGCGGATCAGCTCTTGTGACGGTGACCTGTGCACTTTGACCGCTCCTGCAAGCCCAACCAGCAGCGTACTGGAGCAGGTACAGACGCTCTCATCAGTTGCTGATCTCTTTTCCGAATTTAAGTCCCTTTGGGCACCCCGCTGGCAATTGCACTCCACAACCACGTCCTATGACTGGGACCGTTTTCTTCGCTTTGCATCCGCTGTCCTGCCCTGCCACCGCCTTGTCTTGCCCGAGATCACTGTGGAGGTGTGGACCCGTGCTGTCCGCCGCTTCAAGACCCGTGCTGCCCGTGGTCCTGATGGCTGGGCCCGCCTAGACCTTTTGAACATGCCTCCGCAACGCACGCAGGAGCTTCTTCACTTCCTGGCAGCAGTTGAGGCCTAGGAAAGGCCGTGGCCCAAACAAATGGTCGTGGGCTTCGTCTGCCTCCTTTCCAAAGGGAACGGCCGGACTGATGCTCAGGGATATAGACCTATATTTGCCTGTACAGCATCGTCTACCGAACTTGGGCCGGCATTCGAGCACGGCAAACACTGGCAGCCCTTCAGCCACTCCTTCCTGAGGGATTGTATGGCTTTGTTCCCGGCCACGAGGCCACAGAACTCTGGTACTCGGTGCAACTGGATGTTGAGCTTAGCTGTCAAAGCCAAGAGCCGCTTTTGGGGGTGTCAACTGACATCATCAAGTGCTTTAACCATCTTCCCCGCCTGCCGTTGTTTGCTATGGCGGCTAGAGTCGGGCTACCGCCAACCCTCCTGTGCCCCTGGCAGGCCTTCCTGGCCACCACCGAGCGTCACTTCCTTATACGTGGACAGGTTAGCGAGGGCATCCTGTCCTCGGGGTTCCCGGAGGGTTGCCCACTGTCACCCGTCGCGATGGTCTTGGCTGACTGGGCTTTCCATGCCTACATGGCTGCTTTTGCCTCCCCTGCCAAAGCTTTGAGTTTCGTTGACAATCTGAGTTGCACAGCACGTCGCCCGGCACAGCTGTTACAGGCTTTTGGGGCTCTCTCTTGCTTCACTGACATGCTCCAGCTTCCATTGGACGCCGACAAAACTTTTGCCTGGGCAACGTGCCCCAACGATCGGACTGTTTTGCGCTGCCTGGGATACCCCGTGCTTGAGGCCGCCCGTGAACTTGGGGGCATACAGTCCTTTGGGCCTCGGGTCCGCAACTTGGCCCTAAAGGATCGATGCGAGGCACTTGCACCACTGTGGGCATCACTGCGCCGCTCCAGGGCACCAGTCTGCATCAAGTTGTTAACGCTCCCGGCCAAGTTTTGGGCAAGAGCACTCCATGGTATCTCCGGCTGCCCGCTCTCTGAAGCCCAACTAAGCCAGTTGCGGGCGGCAGCGACGACCGCGTTGCAGATCCGACCAGGTGGTGTCAGCTCCCAGTTAAGACTTAGCCTCGCGACGCCAATGACGGCTGACCCTGGCTTCTACCAGCTTTGGACTTGTGTGCGTGATCTCCGCCGCATGGCAGCCAAGCTGCCCAACTTTGTGCTGTCCTGGCGTCAATTCATGCAGGCACAGGATGGCCGGCAGTTGCATGGACCCCTGACAAAGCTCGTCGCGGTGCTCGCTCAGGTGGGCTGGTGCATCTTAGAGCCACCACAGGTCCTTGACCACGAAGGACTGCAACACAACTTTGTGCAGATGCCTATGCCTTTGCTGCGCAGACTTCTTGAGCATGCCTGGCTCCAGTATACAGCGCGCTGTCATGTCCACCGCAAGGCTATGGCTGATCTGCGGGGACTAGACCCGGCATTGTTGCGGGCTGACACAAAGCGGATGTCGGCCCTGGACGTGGCGAGGTACGCCTCAGTCCGCGCAGGCGCTTTCTTGTTTGGTCACCAACACTCACAGTTCGACCTGACTCAGACCGGTCTGTGTGAGCACTGCCAGGTGCCAGATACCGTGGAACACCGCATATGCCATTGCCCTCTCAATCGGGAGTTGCGCGATGGTTATCAGTGGGCGGTTGATCGATGGGGCACTTTGCCTAAGTCGCTCACACATCACCTACTGCCAGCAGCAAATCCTTTCTTGCCGGCACTGCGCCGCTGCCTGCACCAGATTGTTGATACGACGGGGGTTTTCTTCTGTTCAGGGTTTGGGTTGGGTTGGCAACAGCTCTTCACTGACGGTGCCTGCACCCAACATGTGCATCCCGACTTCGCTTTGGCTGGCTGGGGGTTGGTCCATGCCCAGCATCACACCGCCGTGGCCTGCGGCATGCTGCCAGGCATTCTACAGTCAGCCCCGCGTGCAGAAATCACTGCGATGACGTCTGCAGCACGCTGGGCCTTACAAACCGGACTCCCATGCATGGTTTGGACGGACGCGCTTAACGTGGCCAATGGCGTGGCTGCAGTACAGTCAGGCGGCACCATGAATGAGGATGAGGATGCAGACTTGTGGTCGCCGCTGACTGGCCTCTTATCTCAGCTGGAGCCCAGCCGGTTTTTGGTTAGGCACACGCCCTCCCACCTGGACACGCAACTCACCGAGGGACCGTTCGAGGACTGGCTTGCGGGCTACAACGGCCATGCAGATGTTCTTGCAGGCATAGCCACCAGAAATCGGCCCCAGCTTTTAGTTGAGGCCTTCGAAGCGGCGAGCTCTTACTATCAGGATACCCTGGAGTTGCTGCGGGCATTTCGGTCCATCTTCTTCGGCATCGCTGACAAACGACAGACCGCCCGTGGACGCACGACAGCTGCGGAGGGGGATACCTGGGAGCCACGAGTCCCGACTCCGTGTACGGTGCCGAGACGATTGGAGATCGAAGCGACCCTGCCGCTGAACTGGAGCCAAACGTTGGCAACAATTCGGAGTGACTTCCCCGTGGACTTCGTTCGCTCTATCTGCGAGTTCATCTTTCAGCAGGATGCTAGTGCTACGGAGGCATACGAGCTGTCATGGCTGGAGTTGGTTTTTGCCCTTCATCTTGAGGACCGAGCACAGTACCCGGTAAGCGGTCCAGATGGAAAGTGGTGTTCAGCAAGTTTGCTAGCTTTTCGCCCTCCTGCACCTACTGTTGCGGGTCGGCTCAGTATTATTCGAAAGGCCATGCGGCCGGTGCTGCACGGCTTGAATCTTCAGTCTTTGATGGTTCAGGGTATCGATCGTTCTGATTTCGGCATCGGTTTTAGGTTGGATGGCCTTGTGATTGGGGTCGATTCTGAGCTTTTCCTTCGGGCCCGTGCAAGCCTCGGCCGCTTTGTACAGGGCAGGAGTGTCGGCACAAAGGCCGCACTTGCCAGGCCGATCTAGTTTTGGACCTGACCTGGAACTTCGCTCGCCTGCGGACTGCACTGCTCGCGCCGTGCATCCGCTCTATGGCCCGTGTGTGGTATACACACTAAACCCTAAACGGAAGGGGACCCTCCAAACCCTCAACCCCTAAACCCCTAAACTCACCAACCCTAAACGATATAAACTCTAAACCCCAAGGCCTAAACCCCAAACCCTAAACCCCAAACTCTAAATCCGCAAACCTCTGGGCCCACAAACTCTCAAACCCGGCCCGCCTGCTTCCAGAGCCGTGGGGGCGGAGCGGGCTGGTAGTCCTTGTCATTTTCCCTCCGGATTTTCCTGGCTTTGCAAGCCCTAAACCCTGCACCTTAAACCCTAAAACCTAGACTCTAAACCCTAAACCCTACACTCTAAACCCTGAACCCTAAACTCTAAACCCTAAACGCTAAATCCTGACTTTAGGGCTTTTAGGGGCTTACTGAACCAAAGGGTCCTAGGTACTGCTATAGTCGATACTTCCCCAAATCATTACTTGGAGGATCTTGGGACTTAGTAAGTAGGGTTAGAAGTACCTTAATTGGGTTTATACGTAATTATAAGTATAGATACCTTATTTATAACCTCAGTTTCTAAGTCCCATAATCCTTTATGCTGCTGATGATAGAAATCCTGCATTACGTGAAGGACCCTCAACTTTGGGAGTTATGGTCTACTCCCTATTATGGGCAATGCAGGATTT